AAAAAAAAAGACATTTGTCAGAACTTCCCTTCAAGGCTAGGGATGTAGCTCATTGGTAGAGCCCTTGCTTAGCATGTGTGAGGTCCTCAATTTACTCACACTAGCACCACCAAAAATAAACAATCCCTCCCTTTAAGCATAGTTGTTTTTTATACTCCACAGACACCATTTAGAAGGTGGCTTAGTCATTTATCTAGAGCCAGAGGCTGATTCATTTGACCTGCTAAATCTCCTAGGTCCCAAATACTTTAGGTATTCATAACTCCTTGGGGGAAATTCTGTTGGCAAAGAATGGCTGGAAGAGCAGAGAGAGGTTGATGACCGCTGCTGACACTGAAGAAGAGAACAGGTTGTGCCTGAGGACAGGGGTTAAAGGAGTGCTCAGTCTGGCTTGAGATTTTTTTGCCCTGGGGAGAAAAGACACAGATGCCTTAACTGTTCTGCCTTCTGAGACAAAGTCACTATGTACCAGGCATTTCATAGGTGATAATAAATGTTCTCTTTCTTTCTTCTGAAGGATTCTTAGAACAGATAGAAAAACATCCTAAGACAGCTTGCATTCTTGTCTCTGAAAAAACATGTCATTTCCATTCAACAAGGCTTCATACCTATTTCTGTCAGGAAGTCTTCATCCAGGGCTCCCCATCCCTCAGTGATACTCCTCAAGTGTTATTATCAAGACTTTCCCTTCCCCTAGCACTTATATATAAGGCAATGTGTGGCTGTACTCTTTTTTTTTTTTAATAAGCTATCATCAGACCACATACTGTTGGTCAGCAGGGCTATGTCTCTCCCCTAAGTCTAGGGACCACCCTAAGACCCCTTGGGTATTTTCCCAGAGGATTGCCTCAAGAATGGCAGGGTGCTCTCCTTTCCCAGAAGACTACTCTGAGACTGCATAGGTGTTATTCTTCTCTGAAAAGTCTACTTTCAGGACTTCTCTAGCAGCCAAACATCCACAATTCACTGTATGGTTCCAAAGTCCTCCTTCATTAGGTAGAACTGTCAACAACCAAAGTTAACAATGATTATTAACTATGAAGTCTCTCTCCCAAATGAAGATGATGGTTCTGACTGTGATAAATATTTATGAATGGCTCTATGAATGCAGAAATTAGAGGGAAGAATCCAAATAATACTGCAGCCCTCACGGAATGGCCCACATTTCATGCAAGACCTTTTGGGCCCTCTGCCATCTAGTATTTGTGCTCTCTCACCTGGAGGAAGGAAGGGAAAAAAACAAGGGCTAAGTAAAGGTGCAGGACATAGGTTCTCATCTGTTCCTCCTCTTGACTGGCAAGAAATTTGTGTATTCCCTGATGTAGGCAACAGCAAGTAGGAGCAGCAAAATGAGAGGAATGACTTAATTACTCAGCCAGTCATTATTTATCTGGGCTAGTCCCTGTGCTGGGACCTTGGGGAGCCTCAAAGCCAGTCCTTATACTCAAGGGCTTATAATCTAAGTTGATGCAGTGGACAAGCCAGAGTTACTGAGACTTACAGGAAAAAGTGATGAATTCTGTTCAGGGGTCAGAAAATGTTCACAGTGATGAAGGCATTTGAAATGGAGATTCAAGGTTTTTAGGAGGTAGAGAAGGAAAGAGATGAACAGAGATATGTCAACAAGAAAGTACAAGAGCCAAGTGTGTGGCTCACACCTATAATACCAGCACTCAGGAGGCTGAGGAAGGATCAC